TGTCTGCTCCTGGCCAGGAACCACATTTTAAGAGGGATGCTGACAAACTGCAAAGCAACCAGGATATTAAAGGGTCTGGAAATCATATCATAAAGTTGAAGAAACTAAGAACGATTAACCTAGAAAAAGGAACACTCAGAAAAGAACATAATATCTATTTTAAATTTTAGAAACTGTAATAAGGAAAAGGGATTAGGCTTATACCAGTTCAGCTGGCAGAACTAGGATCAATGAGAAATTGCAATGAGGTGTATTTTACTATTTCAGTTCAGTCTAAGAAAGAATTTTCTTACAACTGAAGCTCTACAAAACTGGAATAGACTATCCTGTGGAACAACAAAGTAGTGAGTTCCCCATCACAAGTATCTAAGCAGAAACAAGATAATGAAATGTCAGAGATGTCATAGACAAGATTCCTGAACTGGGTGGAAGACTGTACCACAATTATCTAAAGCTTCCGTCTTCCAAATCAAAGTTTTAGTGAGCAGAGCTGGAGATGGCAATATAGTTGTCCACTCTTATCTTCGGTTTCACTTTCTGTGGTTTCAGTTACCTGCAGTCAACTGCAGTCCAAAAATATCAAGTGGAAAATCCCAGAAATAAACAATTCATAAGTTTTAAATTGCATGCCATTCTGAGTAGCATGATGAAATCTTGCACCTGCCTGGGACGTGAACCATCCCTTTGTCCAGTGTATCACACTGCAGCCGTCTTGGTTACCAGGCAGTATCGCAGTGCTTGTGTTCGAGTAACCTTTATTTTACTTAATAATGACCCGAAGTGCAAGAGCAGTGATGCTGGCAATTCATATATGCCAAAGAGAAGCCATAAAGTGCCTCCTTTAAGTGAAAAGGTGAAAGTTCAGTATTATCTCTGGTTTTAGGCATCCACTAAGGGTTTTGTAACATGCTCCCTGCAGATAAGGACTACTGTAATAATTCTCTTCCCCTCCCAAACTAATTAGTCTTGCTCTGATGCAACAGTTACATTGAAGCCAAGCTCCATCGAAGAGACGAAGAGACAAGACGGAAGCTTGGTGGCAGATCCTCTCTTGGTGATTCTCAGTTAGCTTACTGGGAACTGGTCAAGGTTTGGCCACTCCTAAAATTTCATGTGCCAATGAGGAGTGAGTTCTAACCCACTCCTCTATTCACTTCTCTTTCTACCTACCTTCAAGTGTTTAATTCTTGGGAAGCTGTGTAAGTTTCATAGCATCTCGGATCAAGTACTTGTTGAATTGACTCATCCACAAAGTTTCAAACATGTGGGCATTTAATTAAAGCTATTGCCTGATGATTTCAACAGATAGAAATGGGGAGAATTCAGTGCTGTATTAACTTTGAGTGAGCATCGCAGTCTGGTTAGAAGAGGTCACAGACTAGACCAGGACAAGTCCAACCACGTAGGAGGTGGTCAGCAATCAAAGGCTGTCCAAAATGTGCAGCAGAGTGCTAACCAAGCAGCTGGGAGTTCGGAAATGTCAAGAAACTAAAGAAACTACCTTACTGTGTCTTCAATTCCTAAATCATTCCGTCCCCACCAATAATTTTTGAGTCAGAAACACTGCTTTTCAAAAATAACTTTTCTGCTAAAAATGTCTTTTAAGACACTATAAATGTGAAGTGAATACTTTCCCTTATTTACACAGATAAAAGCACATCTGTTCTGGCCAGACACAATCAAAACGAAAGTTATAAAAGGAAAACTTCCTTTTGTCCATATACTTCTCTCCTTCTGAATGTTCCTCAGAAGCTTCGGAAACAAGTTCTGAAGGCAAATGTTTCCTCTGTCCCAGGGAAGAGAAAAACCTGGGGCCTCTTGACCTATAAAACTCAATATTTTGGAACATTCATAATTCTCCCAAATCTGTGCCAGTCAAATTGAGTCTCCCTTCAGCAAACCACCAGCCAGCCAGGGCTGGACAGCAAGACTTTCACCCTTAGGAGTTGACAAGGATAAGATTCAAAAGCTCCCTGGAAAAAAAAAAAGTCTCTACCTCGGCTTGCATTACAAACTGTTGGAAAAGACAGATGGAGGGGATGACAGGGAAAGCAATTATTTCTTCTGGGCTTCCTTTTTGTCTGGATTCTAAGGAGACGAATACAAAATTCCATTGCAGATTGAAATGCTATCTAAACATGCTTGAAAATGTGGTCTTGCTCTCTGAAATATGACCTGCTCTGCTCTGCAGCAACCTGTAACCTATTAATATGTGAGGTGGGGAAGGCCGACATTCCTGCAGGCTGTCTAATTCTGGGCCTGACTCTCCAAAACTGCTGGTTTGTGACCACAGGTTAAAATATAACTAAAAGATATACATCTACATAGCGTGACCCAACAAAAAGTCTTGACGAATCATTCACTTTATTTTTATATTCTTGGAGTTTTAAATACCTAAGGCTCTCTTATGTATATTAAGGTTTCTAGCGAGCTATTCTAAATACAGGCTGAATCACACCAAACGGTAGCATTATTTCAAATAGCAGTAAGCTGGAACTACTCATACACAAATCAAGCTTTAAACAACTTTAAAGGAATATACACACCAATCAAAATGATGTTTCATGTAAAGAGCTTTTGTTAATTTACAATTAACAGTCTCACACACGCAGACCAAATATTCCATACGGTTGCATAAACTATTGTATTACATATGGACCATGTGTTCTGAGAAACACAAAGATGAGGAAGATATAGTTCTTGCCTCAAGGAGCTCATAAATTAGTCAAGGGGACAAGACATGTTCACTAGCAAGTCAAAGGAGATCAGGAAAGCCAAATGAAAAGTACAAGCATGGGACTATGTGAGTCTGCAGACAGAAAGGATAGACATCAAATTAATTGAGGAATACTGGGACCAATTTTCTCATCTGTGAAACCTGAGGAGTAGACCAGATGAATTCTAAGTCCTGACTAGTTCTAAAATTCTGATTCCTTTGGTTTAGCCAGTTGAGCTAAACAGAAAATTTTATGAAAGTAGTAATATTTGACCCGGGCCTGAGATGGGTAAGATTTTGAAATGAAGCTACTGGAAGAAAAAGAGAGCATTTTAAGCAGAAAGAAGAACATAATCATAGATCCAGAAAGTACAGGGCATGCTTGTGGAACACTAAGTCTTAGTATGGATGAAGCACAGCAGGACACAAAATTGGAAAGGCAGACCGAGGCCTTGAATGCCAAGCAAAGGAACTTGGGCTTAATTTGGTAGACAGGGGCCACTGAGGTTTCTAAAGAGGTAGATGACAAGACCAGACATATAGTAGGAAAGTTAAAGAGCAGAATGAGGCTGGAGCTTTTGCAGGCTCCCTGTTACTCTTAATTTCCTCTGAGGGGCCCATTTACAAGGGCCTCACCTGCTAGAAAAGCGAAGCTTCATGGGAGAAACCTAAATAGACAAAACAAAGCAACGAGGGTTAAAAACCATTCAAGGACCATGAAATAAGATAAGTTTTAGGAACCTAACATGATTATATACAAGTACTGACAGTGACAACATGGAAGAAGGTAGACTACTTAATAATAAACCAATGAATGATTATTAAAAGAAAAAGTCATAAAATGTAGGAAAATAGAGAAATGGTAAAACTAAAAATATAAAAGAACGAGACTCATAATACCTGTGAGCTACTAGCAGAGGAAACAGGAATATGAAATGAGAAATTTCTACGCAGGATTACACCCCCTCACTACCCACCCCACACCAAATCTGGGAAGCATAATTAACATTTTAAGAAATTAGCTATATTAAAAAATGTCAAATAGGACAGATAACAGAAATGAAGTTATTACAAAAGTACACAACTGACCTAACTGAATTAATACTGAAAAGGGAGGACCAGACATCGTATGAGGAAGACAAGAAAAGGCATGCTCAGCATTTGTTAGATAGCAATTCCTGAAATGTGATGCTAAACAGAATACAATCCAAACGAAAATGAAAATGGTTAATAGATAACATCTGGCCCTGAATCATTAAAGAAAACCTCTGCCCCACACACTTCTTTTTCCCTTCATTCCCTTCCTTAGCTAGATCCAAAGGATGTAAAACTTTGAAATGAATCTACAATGACCTGTTTGCCAACAAAACTAGGTATGAAAAACTATAGTTATGTCATGTTACTTTTGTTTTTTTTTCAATATATAAACTTAATTTCCACCTTGATTTTTAAAAAATTGTATTGTGGTAAAATACACAAAAATCTTAACCATTTTTAATTGTACAGTCCTGTGGTATTAAATACATTCACACTCTTGTGCAACCAGCACCACCAACCATCCCCATAATTCTTTTCATCTTTAAAACTGAAACTCTGTACCCATTACACAATAACTCCCCATTCACCCCAAGTCCCTGGTAACTATCATTATACTTTCTGTCTTTATGATTCTCTCTTTGAAATGAGGTACACTATGTACCTCATATAAGTAGAATCCTATAGTATTTATCTTTTTGTAACTCACTTCATTTAGCATTTCTTCAACAGTCATTCATATTATAGCATACATCAGAATTTCTTTTTTTTTAAGGCTGAATAATATCCCATTGTTTGTATATATCACATTTTGTTTATCCATTCATCTTCCACCTTTTAGCTATTATGAATAATGCTGCTATGAACATGGGTGTCAAATATCTCTTCAAGACTCTGCTTTCAATTCTTTTCGTAGATACCTGGAAGTAGAATTGCCGGGTCATATGGTAATTCTATTTTTAAAAAATTTTTGAAGAATCTCCATACTGTTTTACACAGCAGCTGTACCATTTTATAGTCCACCAAAAGTGTATAAGAGTTCTAATTTCTCCATATTCTCACTAACACTTGCTGTGTTCTATTTTTGGGGGTTTTGGGTTGTTGTTGTTTTTTTTTTCTTTTGATAGTAGCCATCCTACTGGGTGTGAGGTGGTATCTCATTTTAGTTTTGATTTGCATTTTCCTAATAATTAGTGATGCTGAGCATCTTTTCATGTGCTTAGTGGCCAATCTCATATCTTCCTTGGAGATATGTCTCTTCAAGTCCTTTGCCCATTGTTAATCGGGTCGTTTGGTTTTTTTGCTGTTGAATTTTAGTTCTCTATATATTCTGAATATTAATTCCTTACCAGATATGTGATTTGCATATATTTTCTCCCAGTCTGTGGGTTGCCTTTTTACTCTGTTGATAGTGTCTTTTGATGCATAGGTTACTGTTACTTTTGCAGTAACAGAAGTAATACCAAAATCTCAACAATTTAGCGGACAGATAAAAGTAGCAACCTTATTTAATCACAGTATACAAAATAAAAGAGGGCGCAACAGATATCTGATACTAAGGAGAAAGAGAAGAAAATGTCGTTTTTCTCATTTTGACTTGAATGCTCCAGTCCTGGAGAGAGCTGTGTTGTAATACATATTCCTGGCCCAAGAGACACTGAGAGAGAGCTCGTGGCTGGTCTGGGCAGCCTACCTCTTCCACTCCTATGGCAAATCATGTACGTTTCCTGCTGTGTATGGGACAGATCAATAAGAAAATGCTCTATAAGAAGGCAGATCAACATTTTGGTCACTTGGTTACTGGGTTTTGAATAAATTAGGGGAGTATAATTAACATGAAGGAATAAGTTTACTTACTTGTCTGCCATCCTGTCCCACATTTGTTTGACCTCTTACGACAGTTCGAATATTGTCATCTAGTCTCCTAGCAAAAAAAAAATAAAGACTATCATAAAAATAATCTCTATTCTAGGTTAACCAAAATTTTAAAAAACCTAGTAATTTAGTTTGTACCTACTTGTCCAGAAAACCAAATGAGTTGGAATGATATAAGACTGAGGCCCTAGACCCCAGATGGGGCAGCAACAGTAGTTTAAGAAGCCAAGCCCAGCACAGACTGATGAGTCGTATTTTTTTTTTTTAAGGCTATTTTCACTTAATATTCAGAGCTGTCCAAAAGGACCCATATAACTTTTAGTATCTTTCATGGAGTAAATCAGGAATGAGAAGTTGCTGAAACTTTATGGGAAGAAGCCAGAGAATTCAAATTACCCTACACTAAATCCTTCCTTAGTAACTTCCTCAGGAACCTTAAAAGGGATAATGAGCCAGGATTTATAAGAAATCAGTGCTTTGCCTCTGGGCCCTGCTTTGCCTCTGTGGTCTCCAGCTCCTCCTTCTCCTGTGGCTCAATAGGAGCCATTTAATGGTATCTTAACCAGAGAAATTTATATCAGTCAATTTCATTTTTCATTTGAAGAATTCATTAAAGGTATAGGGGCGGGGGGACTAAAAATAACTGGCTCACAAGTGATTTGCACAGAGAATTTCCATTATCTGTGCAAACTCTGCACAACTTAGTGGTCTCTTTTTATAATCGTTATAGCTCAAGTTCACCAAAACGATGAACGGGCTTCTCTGCACTTCCTAAGGCACTCAACATTAATAGCAGAGGTTGTCCCCAAAAACCCAAGGTCATAAGGGAAAAAAAAAAATCACCTCCTGGATTTGAAATAAAGGCTTCCGCTCATCAAAAGTTAAAAAAAACAACACTATATTAAATTAATGATATCAACCATTATAATAACTATTTAATGAATAAACAAACATTGAGTATCTACCATGTGTCAAAACTTGAACTGTAGATGTGGACAAACCAGAACAAGGCTACTGGGCAGGAAGGACATTTGAAGACCATCCTAGACAATCACATCCTAGATTAATCATGATGTTTATGCCTGGGCCACCAATCAGTCCAATCAGCAGATTTGACCACATTGGTAGCTGGTATGTGGCCACAGGATATATATATATAAACCCATCTTCATGTCTAAGTCTTGGGAATACTTCCCCGCCTCCCACAAAAAAGGGTAAATCTGCTAGGGAAATAAAACCATTAAAAATATAATAGAAATGCTTTTGCCTCCTTTTATAATCAACTGTTTTGAATAGCCTATTATAGCTTCCTTCCCTTTTTACAAATAATTGAAGATTGACTGAAGAATCAAGTTCTTTGCTATAAGGTGCGTACCTCGGATAAAAGAATTATTTTTTAAAAAGTTATCATCTATAGCAAACCTGAAATTTCAGTTATCTCATAGATAAGTGTGATCCAGAATGTAAATTAACAATGTACTTTTCATTATTAATAACGATAGTTCCTTACCTTATTTTCAGTCTAATCTTGTTCACAACTTCATCTATGTTTGCCAGAGACTACAATAAAGAAGGAAAAGCGCCAGCTATTATTTCACTTCCTGGAATTCCTCTTTTACAGGGAAATGATGACTTATAATGGCTATTTATAACATCTCAGAAAATTTAGTCATACAACATGATACAATTTTTACTTTTCTTAAAAAGGTATAGCAGCAGTTGGCAACTACTACAAAATCTAGCCTGGTGTTTTATAAATAAAGTTTTATTGGAACACAGCCATGCCCATTTATTTACATATTATCTACAGCTTCCTCTGACATACAAAGGTGGAGCTGAGTAATTGTAAGAGACTGAATGGTCCACAAATCCTAAAATATTTACTATCTAGCCCTTTACAGAAAGTTTGCCTGACCCATGCATGATATATAGAATCATGACAAATTCATACAACAAAATACAGCAATGAAAATGAATAAATGATTATACAAGCAACTACATGGATAAATCTTAATAACATAATATTGCACATACAAGAAACCAGACACAGGAGCATCTATGTATGATTCCATTTATATATTTCAAAAATGAGTGGAAGTATTCTCTCATGTTACAAGCTAAGACAGTGGTTATCTCTAGGGGAGACAGTGACTGTGAGGAGGCAAAAGGGCCATATGAAGATGTTTTATTTCTTGATCTAGGTGGTGATTACATGCCTTTATTCATTTTATGAAAATTCATCAAGTTGTACACTCAAGACTGGTGTACTCCTCCACATTATATACTTCAATGAATACATAAATCTATATTTTCTAAGTGTATAAGTCCATTAGAAAAAAAATCTGAAAGGGTAAATACTAGTAGTTGTACTCTATACCAGTAGCTGTCATCTATGAAATCATTAACAGTAGCTGTAATCTATGAAAAGGAAGGATTTTAGGTGTTTCTTCTTTTTGCTTGAGTATTTTCTAATTGCTCTATAATGACTATGCATTGCTATTGCAGTTATAATAAAAGTTATTTCTGTTTTTAAGACAATGACAATAAAAACAAAAACAAATGGACCATTTCCAACCTCAACGAGCAGAAAATATGAGGAAATGGTGCCCCCTAATGGAAAAGAGATGGTATAATTTTACAGCACCATTTTCACTTAAGTTTTCAAAATGTAATTTTATAAGTCTTCTTTCTCTCTCCCCCAACAGACATTTTACCTCAGAAAGACTTGAGGATGATGCAAGAATTATGCTTATAAATTGCTACTGGCAACCTGTGCTGGCTGGAGGAGACAAGGAGTAGGTCTGGTAAGAAAACCAGGTCACGAGTGTTTCAGATGTCAGATGGGGACATTCATACCTCACCTACTGTTCTGACGAAGCCAATGGTTACTCAAAATTTTCAAATATCCAAGAACAGACAGAGGTAAAGATAAATCTCAGAAAATAGAAGTTATTTTAATTGAGGAACCTACTGTCAAGTCTGTTGCTTCAAAACTGGACTGGGTATAAATCGTCACTTTGGTGACAGGAGCTGAGCTGTTGGAGGACTTGGGGTTGGCGCAACTCTGCCACTAACAAACTTGCTGAACATCTAGAGGGTAAGCTGTCTAACCTCTCTGAGTTTCTATTTCTTCATATGCAAAATGGGCATAATAGTTCTGGCGTTGCTCATCTCTGCTGGAACCCATTCCTTTAAAAAAAACTTTTTTGGGTACTTTAAAAAAACTATTTAAAAAATGTTAACATTTGAGAAATTTGGGGTGAATGGTAGCCATAAATTCTTTGTCCTATTCATACATCTTTTCTGAAAATGGGAAATTATATCAAAAATTAAAAAAATGTAATCTATTTTAAATTGGTAAAACATGTATGTGACCAAAAATTCAAATAGAAGTGAATAGTGAAAAGTAAGGCTTTCTTTCCCCTGTCTTGCCCACCCACCTCCCAGCTCTTCTCCCCAGAGGCAATGGCTCTGGGCCAGTTCCTTTTGCACATTCTCAGAGATGGTTTATGTATTTAAAGCACATCCATAACTTATATCCTCTTCTTTATATAATGCACATTGTCCTGCACCATGCTTTTTTTCACTTAACAATATAATTTGGAAATCATTCCACATCAGTAAATATTGAGTTATGGTGGTACAGTAACTATTGCTTAAGTTTAATACTCCTTAGACATGAAGGTCTTGCTTAAGCCATAACAATTGTTCTAAGAAGAATAATTCAAAATATATTATGCCATCAGATGTTCAACTGCATTTAAAAGAGCAAAAACCTGGGAACGACCTAAATGGCCATCAGTAGAAAAGTTAAATAAATCAGGCCACATTCATTCAATGGACTTTTATGCCACTAATAAAGACAATGGACAGGGGGCTCTGAAACCAAGATCATTTATGAAATGCTAACAAAGGAGAAAACACTTAAAAATATCAAGTACCCATGAATCTAGCTATTAAAGATCAGGAAGAAATATCCTAAAATTATTAAACTTGACTGCATGTTAGGTGGACCCATAAATGACTACTTTCCCTTTATCTTCCAAATTTTCTACTGGGGAAGCAAAAGAGAAGCATGCTAACATTTTATGTGGATCTGTTATGCAATAATCTTCCAGACCAGGGGTCCCAAATCCCGGGGCCGCAGACTGGGATCAGTCCATGGCCTGTTAGGAACAGGGCCGCAAAGCAGGAGGTGAATGGCGGGCTAGTGAGCAAAGCTTCATCTGTATTTGCAGCCGCTCCCCAGCTCTAGCATCACCGCCTCAGCTCCACCTCAGATCATCAGACATTAGATTCCCATAGGAGCATCAGTCTCCAGTGCCAAGAAGGTTGAGGACCGCTATTCTAGACATTTTACAGAAATGGTTTCCCTTAATCTTCTCAACCATAGAGGCATGTTCTTTTCCTCTTCAGTGTAAAGAATGGGAAATAGGCCCTGAAAGGATCAATGCTTTGCCCAAGCTCCTGGATGCTGGATTTGGTTGGGGTCTGTCCAACTCCTGGGTCTCTGCTCTTTCATATTCTACCATGCTACCTTTAATATAATGGTTCTTGACCTAGTTTTTCTGCACCCCAACACACCTGAGGGATGACACATTCCCTGCTATCAGTTTAGTGCCTCTCGGTGGCAGTACTTCTCACTGGGTTTGAGGCCTCTCTGAGAGTTGGGAAAACGCCCTACAGGAATCCAGACTGGCTACCCTGGGTGGAGGTGAGATATCATTTTGAGAATCACTCATCTAGTTTAGTTGTAATGTGGTTGTACAATGTTAATTTGATCACTTAAGTGTCTTAATTATTGAAAAGTATTTCCCGACTCTAATGCCATTCTTGCTGATTACAGAAAATACATAAAATCACGCACCTTTCCAGCAAAGTCTAATCACCGTTAGCATTTTGGTATAGTGCCTTCGACTGCTTCTTCTACATAACTATGTTTTTGTTTTTAATTAAACTGGGATGATAGACAATTTGATATCTTATTTTTTCACTTAACAATATAGATGCAGAGCATTAAAAATCCTTTATCAACAGTTCCATATGACTTTTTTTATAACTTCTTAATTTCATTCGTTTTATATATTTTTAAAATAAATTTCATCTACCTGCTCCAAATCAAAGCTCTAATGAAAACATGACAAATGATTATTTTCAGTTGTCTACTAGGACAGCAGCAGTCCTCAATTTTTTTGGCACCAGGGACCGGTGCTTCCATGAGAATCTAATGCCTGATGATCTGAGGTGGACCTGAGATGGCTGATCCTAGCTGCTGCTAGCTAGCCCTCACCTCCTGCTGTGTGGCCCATTTCCTAACAAGCACCAACCAGCACCAATCTGTGGCCTCGGGACTCCTGTACTAGGAGACTTAAAAATCTGGCTACTCTTCAGAACCACCTAGGAGGCCCTGTTAAATACAAAAACCTTGAATTCCTCCCACCTGGACCGGGTGAGTTAGAAACATCCGGGGATCTGTTCTAGTCCACACTCCCGCCTCCAGGCATTCACAAACATGCAGGAGTTACCACTCAACAGAAACACATACACACTCTCCTCCTCAGTGACACTAAATTTATTCTTGAAATACTGACATCTACTTTAAATATTCTAAACTCATAATTCACATAATTTATTGCAGATTCACGAGGTACATAGATGGGTTTTGCCCAAGATCTGACAATAGTTGAAAAAATTATCCAAAAATTATCCAAAGTATCCAAATCATGCCATTACTTTCATTACTACTATTATCTTTTCATCAAGGTCTATGGGAATCTGGGTTGGAAGATGAACTGCTAAGTGTAAATCTGGGATTGGGGGAAAAAAGGTAACCCTGAGCTGTAAGTTTTCTGAGTCACTTAAGAAACTTCATTACACATTATCATTTGTGTATGTGGAGCATAAGACATATAACTGAATCTGTGGAACAAATGTCTTGTGTTACCTTCAAAAGTTTAAAAACAAATACACACAAAAACATATCAGGAAGAGGTGAGAACCTGGTGTTTTTCTACATAATTTTCAAATCTAACACTTGTTTTGGTAGGTCAACAATTTTGATAGGGTGAGCTAAATGAAATATTTTCATGGCTAAAACTATCTTTATATCAGTTGTTCACAAATTTCTATGTCCAGCCAATTCCCAGAATTCTTCTTTCATAGAAAATGATGAGCTCTAAAGGCTATCTGTGAAATCTCAAAAAAGACAATCATACAGTATGATGCCATTTTTTCCAACTTTATTTTAAATATTAATATGTCCACTAGAAAAAGTTTAGAAGGATCTATGCCAAGATAGTAACAATTATGGGGATTATAAGCTTCAGATTCAACTATGTACTTCTAGCTGGATGACCCAAATATTTTCAAAACTGAGCCCACCTTTACATCTTATTCCTAGCCTACTTACCACTGAAACCTGCTCTCCTTCTTACTCCCAATATAGGGTAAAGGTGCCAACACTCACTCAGTCTGCCCGGCTAGAAATTAAAGATCAAAATCCTTCATTTGCCTATAATGCACAGCTTAAATGTCATTTCCTCATGGAAGCCTTTTTGGATCCCTCGGATTGAGTAAGACTCCCTGTGCTCTGCTTTCACAGTCTTTAGCATATTTCCTTCATGGTGATGCTATCACGTTTAAGCTGAGTATTCTTTTTCTCTCCGTGCCTCATTACTTCCATCATAAAACAAACGTGTTAACAAAGTGGAGAATTTATCAGTGTTCAGAGTGCCTCCAATAAATGTAAGTATCCAATAAATGTAAACTGTTATTATAGTTGTTCTAGAAGTTAGAACTCTTTTGAGAACAAGTAACAATGACTAATAATTATACAAACACGTCATCGTAAAGTCATAATAATTTACTTATAGTCTGTTAATGGTGTGATTATTAGCTACTAAGGTAGGCTGGAAGCTCTATGTTGGTAAGGAGCATACCTGCTTTGTTCACCCCTCTAGCCTCAAACTTCATACAGAGCTAGGCAAAGGAGGTATTTTTTGTTAAGTAAATAGTGAATTTGGGGTTGTACATTCCTTCAATCACCAAATTCAGTGACTTCTGTCTTCTAAATAGCTTTTGGATGTTGTTCTCTCCAACCCAGGCTCTACTCAGGCTCTCATCATCTCTTAAGTGATCTATCACAGCAGTCTAACTGGTCTTCCTGCTTCCAGTTCTGCCTTCCCCCTGCCTTCCTCACTGCTGCCAGATGGAATTTTTAAAACGTGAATCCAATCCAGTCATTATCCTGTCAAGAGTCTTTCAATGAACACCGGCAGCCTAGAGTAGAAGTCTCCAGAGTAGGGTGTGTGCAGCCTCAAAGGGTTTGCAATAATACCCATTAGGGTACGAGAAGAAAGTATTTGCTATTCTTTTTTTTTTTTTTTTTGGAGAAAAACATTAAAATGTCTACTTTTATTCTTTATTTATCTAGCAAACACTACTGAAACCTAATGTATTCAAGATTGGTGTTAGAATATGTAGGTCATATGGGGGGGCGGGGTTAGGTACAGGCTTAAAATTTCGCCCAGTGAAAATTAATTCTATGGAAAACATTTCACTGAGAGGCATTCGGTCTCCAAAAACTTGGAGACCAAAAACCTGGAGGACACCATTCCTTTAGGATCCTTGCTCTACCTACCCCTTCGGCCTCACCTCCTATGAGGCTATGATCCCTATACATACTCTGCCTCTGCCCTGTGTTTAAAAAGATCTTTCCTGTCATCCTGGAAGATTTACCTTGCGGTTCACTTGACCTAGAATGTTCAGCCAGATGGCCACAAGCCTGGCTCCATCACAGGCATCAGGTCTCGGCTTAAAGGTAAGTACCTTAGAGAGACCTTCCCTGACCACCCATCTAAAGCACCCCCCACCCCAAAGCTGTCATGCTCTATCGCTGCACCTGCTTTTTGGCATACCATCAACCATACTTAATCATTTCTTATTTATTTGTTCATTTGTCTATTTTCTTCTTCCCCATACTAGACTCCCAGGAGATCAGGAACTTGCTTGTCACATTTATCATTTCTCCCCAGTTTCTAAAACAGTGCCTGGTACTTAATAGACATTTAAGTTTGACTAAATGAATAAATGAATCCTTTAAGACTTGGAAGAAGGGCTTTTCTCCTCCCTGAGATTTCAATCTTTCTAGGAAGAACTGTTCTTTTGTTCCTCAATGAACTATTACACACCTCTCTCAGTATTCACCAGTGTCTCCCTGACTTGATCATGTACATTTCAAGGGCATGAACTGTGTCTTATTCATCTTTGTATCCCTAGCACCTGGCACAGTGACTGACAACACCTTACAGGTGCCCACTGAATATCTGCTGAATTAATAAGTGAAAAAACAAGTAAAACTCTAGCTAAACTTCTCCCAACTCTGCTGCTTCTAATTTGGGTCTACACCTCCCCCCCCAAAAAAACAAAGAAAACCCATCTATTTAAGCAAATTACCTATCAAAACAAAATAAAATGTAAAGTCTGAAAATTTGTATGTTGAAATAGGAGTGAAAGTAGCTTTATGACTCTAGGCTTATCCTGCCCACCATTCCCACTTTTTTTTTTCTACATTTAAAAAATCCTTTCCACTTCCCAATTTACTACAGAAAATTTGAGAGGACTTGCACAACCAAGGGTATAATTTCTAATAATATGCTCATTATACAAAGAATTCCACCCTAACACAACAATAGTATTTGGTATTAGCTAACCCCACCCCATCCCAAGTGGCTACAATGGAGTCTGATTTGAATTTAACTCTCCTCATTAATCAAGGCCCCTTAGGTTAGATAGTAAAATACAACAATCATAACACTCGGGTTTAGCCAGAAACTACTGAAATGAAGGAAACACTATACTTACTTGCTCCGTTGGGAACAGGGCATTGATATACTCCACAGCATTGAAATCTGCTCGATCTAAAGGATCCTGGCTTGGAAATACCTATAAAAAGATATGAGATTAGAAATAACTGTCATCTTTCAGTCTTGTTTTATGTCTTATTTCTTTCCTCCCTACTGGATGGTAAAATCTTTGAAGGCAAAAACCATATCTTTTTTTTTTTTTTTTCATTTTATAAGGCTTAACAAACAGATGCTCAATAAAACATCTGTTAAAGTACATCTTTAATTTTCACCAACATCTGTAATTTTAACATCTTGGTGCAACTAACACAGAATGTGCAACTGTGAAAAGTTCCACAAATATTAACAAAATTCCAAGAACAAGGAAAAATAAATGGGCGTTGTGCGTATCAGATTAAACTAGTAGAAGGCATGGTTATAGTAAGGAAGTCTTGATAACAGACTTACGCACTATGTCTCAATGAAGTCTCAGCACTAGAATTCACTATGCATTCAAGCAATATTCATGCTTTGTTGACAAGAAAGGGAGAGCTGGCATTCAGGAAATGTCTCTAACAAGAATACTGAGTTCTGAGAAATATAGCTAATTCCCTTCAAAAGTTATAACTCGAACATGTAACAAGGTGAATTATAAAAGATGTCAAGCAATCCCCTAAGTAGTGGAATTCCCCAGCTCCAGGCAGTTATTGTGTTTTATGTTTTTGTTTTTGTTTTTGTTTTTGTTTTTTAGGCAAAGCAATCCTTGGTTGACCTCACAAATTGCAAGGACCCTGTCAACTTACAATCCCTTATTTTTTTATTTTTTATGCCTACAGCACCTGGTCTTCCTAGGTGGTCTCCCATCCAGGTACTAACCTGCTTAGCTTCTGAGATCAGACAGGATCGGGCTTGTTCAGGGTAGCATGACCGTAGACGCAAATTCTTTTCTGATATCTGCTTATTAGATAAACCTGTGCTAGAACCCAATCTTATTAATAGCAAACATGTGCTCCTCTAAAATCCTTGTCAAACAATAACTGACTGCATTATTTGTTTCTTCCATTAGAGTCCGCTAGGTTCAAATAGCAAACAAAATGTGCGTCTTTATCCAGATGGAGGTGGGTGGAGAGCTGTGTGGCCTGAAAGCCAAAACCTTTGCCCAATGGTCTGGCATCCTCAGGATGTGCCAAATGTGTTTTGTATGGGTAATCTAACCACTCTCAGAAAAACATACATCCAAAAATCTATAAATGGGACAATACAAATAAATGACATAGTACGGTGGCAGATCCACAGTGTTAATGTTCAATATATATTAACTATTAGTATATTATTATACAAATAATGTTAGCAGCAATGTTTTACTTTGAAAAACTTCCCAGCGGCCATTAAATGTGGCATAACCCTTCTTTCCTTAAATCACATCCCCTAGCCAATTCTTTTAAGGGATATCTCCCTTTATCAGGAGCAATACCCACTTTAAGTGTCTAAATCACTATTTTTAACATCATTACTCTTAAAAAACTCGATAAACTTGAAAAGAGAATTTAGTCAACTAAAGGTCCCTGCATGGAAGGGAGGCCTCCTAACCCAAACTAATCAATAGCAGAAATTCTCAACTATTTATGGTAAAGGAGTCCTTTTTCAACCGTTTCCCCTCTGCTCTGCAATCCGCTTCAGAAATTAAATTTACCCCCTGTCCTCAATTCTGAGTAACTCACAAGGGTCTAGGTTGAGAATCGGGAGCAGCAGCGGAACAGCCTGGTAAATGAATGAATAGCTCAACAATCCCCCAAATATGAGGGGTCCTTTGCGCAAACGCACCCTCCAAAGACAACCAAGGACTAGAAAGGACTCTCTCCCTCCCCTAGATTCATAAATCCCTTCCCAGCACTACCCCCTCTCCCCAACCTTTCCTTTCCCTTCTGTGCCTAGCTCCCACCTCTCTGTGCAAAGACCGCTCCTTCTCCTTGCCATCCTAGGTCCCAACCCTAGATCTGCCCGGTCCTCCGCACTCTCCAACCCTCAGGGGGCGGAACACTCACCTGTTCGATGGCGAGCTGCACGTCGGGCGTGAGCTGCAGCACGGCTTCCAGCTCTTCCACGAACTCCAGTTCCTCCTCCTCCATCATACTGCCGCCCAGCTACCTCCTGATGCCAACCCCAATTGGGAGTCAGACCTCCTGTAGTCACCCAAGCCACAGAACTGCTACCCAACCGCAGCAGCACGGGGAAAAGCCTTGGTTCTGTCAGCTAGCCGGGCACTTCCGGGAAGACGGGCACTTCCGGGATCCGGGGCACTCTGGGATAGCGGAGGACTGACCTCCGGTTACCCAGAGGAGACATTCCTTTCATGTACCGGGAGTCTTTCTGGGCACCCCTGTAGTCAGCGGCCCCTACGTGCCTTCAACTCCCCCTTAAGATGGTGGGGGCCCTCGTCACCTCACCGAAGGTGCACCCCCCCACTGAGGGCCTTGCCATTGGGAAGTGCCTGGCCGCCCGGGCAGGACCCCCTCCCCCCCAGTGAGGGTAAGCCCAGCACCGTCGCGACCGACCGGCAGCAACCGTTCACGGGCCGCGAAGCCAGCGATCCTTCACCTCCCAGGGCCCCTTGGTCAGTGGGAGTAGGTGTCCCCCTGTATCGGGGGAGAAATGACCCCAGCTGGTAAGTGGCGATGTTGCCAAGGACAGAATGTAGGATGAGACAGCGTCCACTTGACAAAGTTCCCCGTGTGCCAAGTTTTCTGGGGTATCTGCAGCTTCCTCCTTGGAGGGGGCGGAGGGAGCCACATTAGGCAGTGTCTCTTCGCTGAGGAAATATGTACTTTCTGAGACTGAATATCTGGAGTCTAAATCCCATTCCACGACTGATAAATTGTATGATCTTGAACAGATTACTTACTCCATCTGCTTACTCTGCAAGGATGTGGCGAGGGTTAAATATAAAAAGCACTATGCAAATTTAAGCTAGTAATACAGGTAATATTAGGGTGTTTAGCCTTTCTTCAACGCAGAAGAAAAAGAGGCCAGATCACCTTGTGGAACCACTTTTCCTCCAGACACTTAAAACAATGAGAGAACTGCAGTTAAGGGAAGAGTTGTTTTACCAGTTAAACGTGAAACTGTCTGATGGGAGAATCCTGACTCCACTGAGCTTTTTTTAAATTATTATTATTTTTTATTTTATTAAAGTTGTAAAGAAAAGATGGAAGCAACATAATTTCTAACAATAAAGGAAGGCTTAAAAATATAAATCAGCTATGCGATAGAATATTGATTCTATTGATAAAATCATAGTTTTGAAAATTAATGACAGAAAATGTGCATGGAAGATTTCAGAAAGCAAAATGTATTTTTCAGAAAGCAAAAATGTACAGCATAGTCCCAGTTTGTGTGTGTATTTCTGTGTCTATATAAATTATAGCAAGGATATATTACTTTTACACAGGTGATGGAATGTACATTCTTTGTACATTTTCCCAAAATGTCTACAACGAGCCTGTAGTACTTTTATAATCAGAAATGTAAATGCCTTTTTTAAAGAAAAAGGTAATTATACCCACCTGTCTTAGATTTTTTGTTTTTACATTAAGGAATAATTTACATACAGTTCACCCATTTAGTTTATAATGCCATGGGTTTTGATAGCTGTGTATAGTCATGTAACCACCATCACAATCAAGTCCTAAGACAGTACCATCATCACCTGAATTTTCTTCATTCCCACCCCAGGCCCCGGTAACCACTGATCTGATTTTCTATTCCTATAGTTTGGCTTTTCCAGAATATTATATAAATGGAATCATACAATATGTCACCTTTTGAATTTGGCTTCTCTTACTTAGCATAATGCATATGCATTTCATCCATATTGTTGCATGTATCAGTCATTCATTTTTTTCTTGCTGAGTGGTATTCACTATATGGATATACCATCATTTGTTTTATCCATTCTCTGTTGAATGATATTTGGGTTGTTTCCAGTTTTGAGCAATGATGAATAAAGCTGCTCTGAACATTCATGTGCAGGTTTTTGTGTGAACATAAGTTTTCATTTCACTTGGGTAAATACCTAGTAGTGGGATTGCTGGGTTGTGTGGTAAGTCTTTGTTTAACTTTATAAGAAACTGGTAAACCATTTTCCAAAGCGGCTTGTATCATTTTTGTATTGCTACCAGCAATGTATGAGAGTTGTGGTTGCTCATTGAGCTTATGTTTAATGTTGATGATAATAACATTTGCTAGCCCTTTCTATATGCCCGACACCATGCTAAGCATGCATTCTCTTTTAACCTGCATGGCAATTCTGAGGTTGGTAGTTATTATCATGATCCTCATTTAACAGATGAGAAAATGGAGATGTAGTTAAAAACAAAACAAAAAACTTGCACAAGGTCCCATAGCTAACTCTTCCTACCATTCATTCACTCATTCAATAAACTTATTGAATGAATGAATGTTC